AATGATACGAAAATAAAATAAATAAACACACACGCACGACGAAACCACGACTAAAGGTCAGACTGTTGTATCGGGTAACAATCCCCTACTCTTACGAATTCCCGTTGGATTTCCTGTGATTTTGGAGTCACTTACGGCTTTACTATTGCAAATGTTGTTCATTTTCTAAGAGCTTTTTTCTACTTTATAATGTTTTGCACCTTGGGGGTAGCCAGTCAAAAAACTGTCCCAAATTGAAACGTTCTTCAAGTTGAATTTATACTATACCTGCTTTTATCTGTACAATACTGATTATCAGTTTATTCCCAGTTAATTTTGTGCATACACAACATCAAGAGGTTTGGAGTTAGAGAAAATGTATAGACTTACGAAAAAATGTTTAAAATTTATTTTAAACTTCTTCAAGCTTCTATGTTTTTCTATTTATTACTTCTTCATTTTATATTTGGATATCAAACGAGGTATTTTCAACATTGTCAGCCTTCAGCAAAATAAGTGCGATGTTTTTTTGCTCTGGTTACCCCCCAAAGCCGCAAAGTATTGTGGATATGGGAAGTTAGAAAATTCATTTAACTTTTGGCTATTTCTCTGGTCAAAGTTTTTTCACCAGCTGTGAGTTTTAACTCTAATTGTTTAACTGACGCATAAAGACTTAAAAGTCTTTTTGCGTCAGTTAAACAATTAGAGCAGTTAATGGGCGTGAAACACGTTGTCGTTTTTGTTTGGTTCAATGTTTTTACTTACTGTGTTAAAATTTATCTTAACCTCAAGGGATTTAAACGACAGGTTATTTATCAATTCATCAATTTAAGGAATGAATGAAAATATGACGGCAATTTATTTAAAAGGACAATTTATTTAAGTCTTTACGCGTCAGTTAAACAAGAGCAGTTATTGTCATGGGCGTAAAACACGTTGTCGTTTTTGTTTGGTTTAATGTTTTTACTGTGTTAGTTTATCTTAACCTCAAGGGATTTAAACGACAGGTTATTAATTAATTCATCAATTAAAGGAATGAATGAAAATATCATGGCAATTTATTTAAAACTAGACGCCCTAAAGGCGTATACTCGGGCTACCTGTGTATAATAGAATGTAGAACTTTAAAGGGAAAACAGAGAGCACTAGTTAATGGAAATGGTACTGGAATTGAGAATTAGATTGCATTTCTGATAATCGGTTTTGTTTTTCTGTAGTACCCATGGAATTGTACCATGTCTGGCTGTTAGTGCGCATGTCTGATAATCGGTTTTGTTTTTCTGTAGTGTCCAAGGAATTGTACCATGTTTGACTGTTAATGCACATGTCTGATAAACGGTTTTGTTTTTCTGTAGTACTCATGGAATTGTACCATGTCTGACTGTTAGTGCACATGTCTGATAAACGGTTTTGTTTTTTATTAGTGTCCATGGAGTTGTACCATGCTCGACTGTT